GGTCATCACGTGGGGCAATCCCAATAGGGGTGGTGATAGCAGTGCCGTGCAGGACCAGCTGAAGAATGTGCAGCAGATCCAAGCCACCCATTCTGCTTTCGCTGCCATCCTCGCGAATGGCTCGGTCATCACGTGGGGCAATCCCAATAGGGGTGGTGATAGCAGTGTCGTTCAGGCCCAGCTGAAGAATGTGCAGCAAATCCAAGCCACTTGTGCTGGTTTCGCGGCCATACTGGCTGGTGGCTCGGTCATCACATGGGGCGATCCCAGTGCTGGCGGTGATAGCAGTGCTGTTCATAGCCAGCTTGAGGATGCGCAGTAGATCTCAGGATGCCAGGGCGGCCGGATCATCTCAAAAAGTTGTTGTACTCACTACCTTCCCTTTGTGTTCTGTGAGAGAGGACCTGTTCACAAGCAAGGTGCCTTCAAAGCACCACCCAATCAAGCGCGGTCACCAACAAGCCTCCAAATGGGCAAGTTGCTCAACATGTAGCCAGAGAGTCTAGGTACGCATAAAGCAAATACGTAGACCTCAAAGTACGAAATCATGCAACACCCATTTGGAGATTCAAGTATGCTTCAGGGGTTCTTGGGCCCTTGAGGGTAGCGCCACGAATTTTGCAAGCTTGGACGTAACTAGTGCAGCTGAAGCGTTGTGCTTCGCAGAGGTGCTTTTCCAGAGTCAAACGTCGTCTCTTTAAGTAAAACTTAAGCGTTGCCAAAATAGGTAGGGAAATTATGAGCATATACTATCTTACCTATAGTCGTTCGTAATTACTGTTACGCAGTTATAGATGACACTAGTTTTCCGCAAGAGAATTACCTCGCTGCCACCAAGGCTTCAAGAACTCAGACACCTACTGTGTGGCACCAATCACCTTCGGCCAGGCGGGACATCCTTTGCCAAGCCCCGCTGGGCTTCGACTGTCGAGTTTGGTTTAGGGGTAGAAGCCTGAAAATAATTCCCTCATAACCCTTCTCATAGAAATGTGTGGAGTACATTGTCCCCCCTCACGACCCTATTCTAAGAAGATATGCCGAGATGCCCCTAAATCCTAAACCCTTAACCTAAAGCCTAACACTCCCCATGAGCCTTCAGGTCAGGATGTCCTCATGAATGAAGGGTTTAGTTGGGGTCAAGGGCTATGGCATTTACTAACGATCTCGTTCGGTTTCAGATGTACACTGGCCAATGTCAACGAACTAGCGATGTCCTCAAAAGATGTTTTTGTTTTTCGTATGATAAACTCCCTTCGTTTACGGTTACCCCTGTATCACTATGCCTATCATGCCACCCCCTGAGGATCCAAATTGCGCAAATTAGGCATCATTTTTAGGAAGAAGGGACCCAGACCCCCCTTAGTAATCCAATAATGGAGCCCTAAGTCCCAGACCCTAAACCCTAAGCAGTCACCTAGGTTTCCCCATGTAGCACTGGTTCTGCAAGTCGTGTGGCTTTCAGGACCAAATGCCATCCTACGACTACTGGGCCATCGGTCATGGCCTTGAGTTTAGTGTTCATGGTGGTTTTCGGTTTAGGGTTAGGCTACATGTACTCGTAGTTCTTCTATGGGTGGAATTTCTCAAAAAGCAACGTGTTACGGCTGAGAACCCGCTGGCGAAAGTTCCCAGAATGTGCAAGTTTGTGCCATCCAGCGAAGTTATGTAGGTGCTTCTGTGGGCTCATCGAAAATGACTCTGTGGAAAGCTGCGGAATTCTAGCAGATTCCAGCTACCCGGAAAAGTCTACGTACCCGGTCTTATAGAATTTGTGCCCCAAAGCGTTGATTTTATGCATTTGGGCCGAATTACATCCTAAACCCTAAATCCCTAGACCTTAAACTCCATTCTAATTTGTATATCCACATATATCACAAGCTAGGATCTCCAGTATCCTAGGACCAAAAAAAGTCTCCCATTTTCTTGTTTTTCCACAGAAAATAAGGGTGAAAAAGGGCTTACTCAACATCCCTGTAAGATGACATCCTACGATCCTATCAACGTACTGAGACCCTTGGGGTTTGGACTCTGCGCCTGTCTGGCGTTGCTACGTAGGCACACTGCGCACCCGTCAAATCCTAAACCCCCAAACCCCAGGGTTTAGGCGGCCTGGCCTTTGGCAGCCAAGTGTCAGGCAATGTGCAGAATGAAGAAACTATCTATAGCCTAGCCCCTTTCACCATACCTACCCTACACCCTGAACCCTAAACACTAAAGCGCGTGGAGCACTACCTCGAGAGGCTGGTCACTTGGGAATCACCTACAGTCAAAGTCTCACGCTTTATGCGCCACTAGCCGAGTCCGCTGCATGCCCAATTCGTAAACCGGATGTAGCATCCAGGTGTGGAAGCCTAAACCCCTGAATCTCAAACGCATGAGAGTCCGAGATGCCTTCGGGATGTATGATAAGACAGACCCTGGCTGCAGATATTCAAAGGATCCCATGCATATTACTACTTGGAGGTCCTTGGGTTTATCCCCGAATTACACTGATAGCCAATTGTAGGAACCCTCAATCCCCCAAAACATTCATAATTGGGTTAGGCTTGTTCATGGTCAGGGTTTAGAGTTTAGGGCTTAGGGTTCATAGTCCCCTTTACAGTAGATATGATGTGGCTTTCGGTATGCTTTAATAAGATCCCCACATACCCCATGTTTTATCTACTTAAGGGCGACTATATAACCAATGGACTTTCAAGTACAGGAGGCTCTTGAGCTGCGCCTGGCGCGGTTTAGGGTTCAGCGTTTTTATAGGGCTCAATATGAACCTAAGCCATGACACAGGACCAACTGCTCTCTGGATTTTAGGGTTTAGGGTTTAGGGTTTGGGATTTAGTATTTAGGGTTGCTGTGACACAAAGACCACGTAATTTGGTCTCATACTGTTGATATTCAAAACCTTGCATGACCTTCGCATACACTAGCCCGTAGTTTGCAAGGTTTAGGCCATTTAGGGTCACGCAGATGGTCCTTTATCAGGCGTATTTGTTTTTTTGAGAGGCTTGAAGGACTGGAAAAGAATATGCCGACTACTATACCTCAAGGATCATATGAAGTCCTTTTTTTGCGGTGGTAGACTATTGTCCCTTGAGGAACTGCAGAGGGGCCTCTTGGTTCAACCCCTCACTATATCCCGAACCCAAGCCGAAGTCCAAGCTTCCTTGGAGCTAGGAAGTACGCTGCTGATGGGCATAATGCGGATTCCTACATGGCTGAAAGGGGCTATGTACTTCTGAAACCCAAATCCTGTCCCTATGACCCTCCAAGTACAGCCGAGGTATGAACTGCTGTGAGGGTCAGACTCCTGACTTCCGCTGTAGCGAGCCTGGCGCCGAGCTCCCAAAAGTGGTCATGAACTACTGTCAGTAGGAGCTACTGTTAGAAGTGGCCTTATTGAGGACCCTTAACAATGGGCATAGGGGTCCCTCTTCCCTAACATAGGCCCTGACTGATGAGAAACCCATGTCCATTGAAATATGTAGAACATCATACGTATCGTGGTAACAGCAATGACAGTCAGTCATGCACTTGATGCCGGGCAAAGTGTTTGTCTGCAAGGTACAACAACGCGCATGCGCGAGCAGGGCTTCGCCTCATGAGTCGGGGGCCAAGTCTCTTTAAAGGGTTAGATGCAGATATGTAGAGCTTATTTGTTAGGTTTTCGAAAGGCGAGGGGCTCCTTTTTTGGAGACCCTGTCATAAAAACTGGATGGTATATTAGGGTGAATACTGTGGGCCCAGACTGTTCAGCACCTTATCTGAAAGAAAGGTACCCCACTAGCATACTGAAGCGGTTACCTGTGTGCATGTCCGTCGCATTGGCTTTGATGTCGAGCCAACACCAACTCAAATGAAACTGAAGTTATGTCCCGGTGATAACTAGCAATATTGAAATGCCTAGGGGCTAGGGGGCTCACACTTGGGCGACGACTACAGTTCTAAGACTAGGTCATTCATGGGTTCCCCCTACTCACCCCTATACTACAGTACCCCTCCTAGGTTTTGTTTTTACCTTACCTTACCTGCCCAACTTTAAACCCAAACCAGAAATAATTCCAATAAGGGGCAGGCTGGTGGCGGGGTAGGGCAAGCCCAGGAGTTCTAGATGGGTCTCAAAGAAACATCCCAGGCCTTTGGCTTGGCAGCCCACTTAGTGTAGGGATTAGGTTTAGGGTTGAGGGCTTAGGGTTCCCAATCTTGTGCATCAATAAGCCATGGTTAAGACTCGGTTGTAACTTCAGCGATGATTGTGCTATGAGTACTCTGCACCTTCACATACGTGCCTTTATGCACGATGTAGAGGGATTGGTCCTGCTGTGAACGGTGTCTTTACCTGTCTAGCGGGTAACTTCTAACCTTTCTGAGTACAGTTCGTCCCCATGTAAACCTCTTGGACTTTTTCTTCAAAATGAACCCTATACCTTGGAAAAGCCTGAACCCTAAACCGTGTCCTCAGTGACTTAGGCGACGATGAAAGGCCTTTCTATCGCCTTGCGGTGCAGCAGGCAGAGGCTGCATACAACATCAGGCGCGATCTCGGGGGCTACTAGGAATGCTATCCCAATAAAACCTGAATGGAAACTGGGGTTTACGTATGTAGGAGTTCAGAACCTACTTCTGGTTCGGAGGGAATGAAGGAATGGAAAAGTGACTGGGAACTACGATATTATGGAGGGGGGCTATACAGGGACGACTGTATCCAACCAAAGGTAACAGGGGTACGGGAAGCTTCCGCTTAGGGCTATACGGGTTCAGGCTTTAGGGCTTAGGCTTATCCTGAGGGTCCAACTGCCAAAGCAGGATTAGAAAAGTGGAGAATAAGTAGAAAGGACATTGGGAAAAAAGGTCTATAGGGGTCCGAGTACCTAGATCGGATGCAATGTGGGCCAAGATGGGTTCCTGTATACTTTGGTGTTCACATTCTATGCTGTATGGGTACCTGGGCTCTTAGGGTAGATACGGAAGTCATAGGGTTTTGGGTTGAGCCAAAATCCATTTGTTGTGGGGCTCTACTCCCCTGACTGGACAGAAGTGATGCACAACTCCCTTAGCCTCCTCCAAACTGACATGCAAACCAAATATGATTACAGTAGAATACAATGGTATCCCTCAAAACTACAGTTGAATAAAATGCCGTCCCAATCGAACCCTTATGTGATTATCGTAGTTCATATAACTATTGCAGAACCCATTCCTATCCCAGAAAAACTTTACATAACTACGCTAGCTCTTACAACTATTTCGCAATAACATTATGCCCGGATAAGCCTTGTGCAATTCTGGCAAGCAATTAACCATCCCTAGACCCCAAACCAAAGAAGCTAAGCGTCGGCCAGGGCAGAGCACCCCATGTTCTTCCACTGGGTACAAGATCCTGCATGCCACCCAGGACATCAGGTTGGGCTGAATGATTACCTGAAGCCCTGGGGCGTTGATATTTTTTGGGTTTAGGTTCTTGGGTTTTAGGGCTTAGGGTTTAGGTTTCAAATTTTAAGCTTTGTCGTGTATTTTTGGGGCTTGGGGGAGCTTTGGGCTTAAGATTCTATTGTGGCTGGAACCAAGTGTCATTTCTAGTATTGCTAGTGTTATAACATGAGCCGAAGGGCATGTTGTTTTTGAGCATCCCAGAAGCGCGAGGGACGTGCCCAACAGACAGCTAATGACGGAATGGATGCCTGGAACAGTCTTGAATTATGCTCCTAATAGTGGAGATAGTAGTATTAGTAGTAGCAATAGTAGTAATAATAACAATTACAACGCTCGGCCGGAGCGTAAACGCCCGCCGATTCATCGGTACGCAGTAGTAGAGCACAGAATCCACTGCGAAACGCAGTATTTTTGGAAGCACGCATCTATAAGGAGTCCCCAAAACCTACGTCAAAAAAACAGGAAAATTTACGCGTGCCTTCTCAAAAATACTGTGTTTTGCAGGGGATTCTCATCGGCAGGAATTTGAGATTTCAGGCATTTTTAGATTAAGCAGACCCTGAAAGCACGGTTCAGGTGTGTCATGGCAAGATGGAGCATGAGGCTTTTTTCAGGGAAACAGCC